ACACACATATATATATATATATATAATTTTTTAATATATTTTTGTGTGTTATAGTATTAATAGGAGTATCAGCCTACTTCACCAAAAACTAGGTCCCTCGAAATCTTGAATGCATTAACATTATCCCTCTCAAGACTATTTTTATTACAAACTCAAAACTTGAAGTCAAGATTTTGAGGATTAGACAACTGTAAGATCAGTTGGACTAATGATATACAATTACAAATTATTTTAATTCGTAATTTAAATCTTTTACAAACAATAATTTTAAAAAAAAAAAATCATGTATAATTAATGCAAATTTGAAAAATATATGTTTTCTACGTTTAATTTCAACAAATATTTTATAATTACTTATTTTTACAATCTAATATAATATTTCTTTTTGTTACCATCTAAAAATCTAATTTAACATTACAAAATTGGCTTATAAAAATTGTTTCTCACTTATATAATATTAATTTGGTCATATCATTAGTTGATGGAGGATTTTCAACACATACATCTCACGTCAAAGGCTAGACTTCACAAGCATGAAGTTTTGATTGTGCATTAGACATTTGTAAGTAGTTTGATAACAATCCAGTATTAGGTGGCCTGATAAGCTCACCAATAATTACCAGGGTAGTGGGTTAAAAATCTAATTTAACTTTATAAAATTAGCTTGTAAGAATTGTTTCTCACTTGTATATACTAATTTAATCATATCATTAGTTGATGTGAGATCTCCAACATATACCTCTCATGTCAAGGACTAGACATTACGAGTGTAAAATTCTGTTTATGGATTGGACATTTTGCAGGTGGTCAAATAATGGTCCAAAAACAAGTGGCCTGATAAGACCACCAACAATTGCCAAGATAGTGGATTAAAGTTTAATTTAACCTTATAAAATTGGCTTGAAAGAATTGTTTCTCACTTGTATACACTAATTTGGTCATATCATTAGTCGATGAGGATCTCCAACATATATCTTTCATGTCAAGGACTAGACATTATGAGCATGAAATTTTGTTTGCGGATTGTCTATTTTGCGGGTGGTCTAATAACAAATCAATTATAGGTGACCTGATAAGTCCACCAATAATCGGCAGGATAATGCGTTAAGAGTCTAACTCAACCTTATAAAATCTTCTTGTAAGAATTATTTCTCATTTGTAGACACTAATTTGGTCATATCAATGGGAGATCTCTAACACACACCTCTCATGATGGAATAACACTAAGGTCGAGAAGACCAAGAGGTGATATACTAAAGGAGGCAAGAGGAATGGGATAGTAAGGCCATTTTTGGACCTTAGCTCCTAGGTTTTATAGCATTTATTTCTTTATTCCTATTTTGCCCTTGTCTTTAATTTCCTATTTTACCCTTGTATTTTGGGGTATTTTAGTCATACAATTTATTTTACTTGTATTTCCAATTTTACCCTTGTATTTCGGGGTGTTTAGGACTTAGAATTTATTTTCTTTTGTATTTCCCATTTTACCCTTGTATTATGGGGTGCTCTAGATTATTAGGGTTTTTAATTTTGGGCTAGGGTGTTAATTAGAGGGTGACACATTTTTGGTGCTTATTGGGTCTATTTTTGGTGTTAGAAAGGCTTAGGCCCAAGTGGAGGGCAAAGGTTGCATGGTCTTATCATGCACCTAGATATAGCCAATCTAAACCCAAAGATTCCATCCTTGGCCACCAAGTTGCATCTAGGGTTCATTTGCATTTCATTTGGAATGCATTTGCCTACTCCAAATGCAACCCTAGATGCCTCCCCTCCTATAAATACCCAACACCCCACCACTTGTAAATACTTTGGATTATATAGAATTTGAGTGAGCTTTTATGCCTCAAGTCCTTATCCTTAGTCCCTAGGGTTGCTTCGGCTAGCCTTCCTTCATTCTCCACCCTTGGAGAGTGAAACCTAGAGTGGCCTCCACCTACCTTGGAGTGAGCCAACTTTGAGCACCCAAACACCTCCACCCTAAGTGCTTCCGCCCAAACCCCATCATTTCACGCCAACCTCCTTTCCTTCACCATATCTCCTCCTTTTGTCCACCTTGTTGAACCTAGATCAAGGGCAAGGCTTCCTCTCCATCATCTCTACGTCATTTCATGGAGAAGGAACCCATCATCTCATGTCAACGAGTAGACATCATGAGCATAAAGTTCTACTTACAGAGTGGACATTTACGGATAGTTATATAAGCCAACCAAGAATTGCTAGGATAGGATCTGATAACATTTTAAGAAAGTAGTTTAAAGTTTAACTCAACCCACAGAATTAGCTTATAAAGTAAAGATTATTTTTTACCTATATACATTAATTTGAACATATCACTTGTCAATGTAAGATTTCTAACACTTTTTAAAATACTTTTAATATATCTAAATAATATTATATAAAAATATTAAATTAAAAATAATTTTTACCATTAATATAATTTTGAAAATGAATATTTTTTACCTATAAATTTAATAAGTATTGTATAATTATATAATTTAAATATTTAATGTAACATTTATTTTCCTTTTCTTTAAATATTTCTAATATCTTCAAATTGTATTATTTACATTACTTATATAAACCCGCACATTGCCTAATTGATGTTAAAGTTAGAACCATTTAACCATGGCCAAGTATTTAGAGGAAAGTGTTATCTAATTCGAATAAATACCCGAAGATTACTGAAAATGCTGAGAATTTAAACAGGAATAAGCTCTTGACTCAAGACTTCTGGTAACGGCAATAAAAGAAAGTATGACCTTGTACGCTTGCCCCTTATACTTTCTTTTATTCAAACAAATGCTGATAACAGTGTTTGTGAAAACTGAATTATACTTCCAAATGAAATTGGAATAAAAGGAATCATGCTAAACAATTCTTGGAACTGAGCACTAGCGGCGATATATGAAATTAAAAGTTAGAAGGGCACAAATTTACAGAAATACCTTGGTTTAAAGGGGAAAGCAAAATATGAAATCTAATGTCTGCTCTCCAGCATAATACAGGAAACTTCAACTTACTTCCTCAAGCGGTAAATGATTATTCATATACTCAAATTCAGGGGCAAATAATGTAAACAGGTACAGTATGCATGCTTAATATCCGCTGCTAAAACCTAACATATTGAAAGTGCTAAATTTCATCAATTATAATAGCAAGTAGTCCATATTCATAAACAGAACTAAAACTGAATTATAAAATACATCAGAGTCAACCATAGTTTTTTCAAGGCTGCTAAAACTGAACATATACAGAACATTCTCAAACTTAAAATCCACCACGAAGACGCAACACAAGGTGAAGAGTAGACTCTTTCTGAATGTTATAGTCAGCAAGAGTCCTTCCATCTTCCAATTGCTTCCCAGCAAAGATCAACCTCTGCTGGTCTGGTGGGATTCCCTCCTTGTCCTGAATTTTAGCCTTGACATTATCAATTGTATCTGAACTCTCAACCTCCAAGGTAATTGTCTTTCCTGTCAAAGTCTTCACAAAGATCTGCATTCCTCCCCTCAGACGAAGGACCAAGTGAAGGGTAGACTCCTTCTGAATATTGTAGTCTGCTAGAGTTCTTCCATCTTCAAGCTGCTTTCCAGCAAAGATCAACCTTTGCTGGTCTGGTGGGATTCCCTCCTTGTCCTGGATCTTAGCCTTGACATTATCGATTGTGTCTGAACTCTCAACCTCAAGGGTGATGGTCTTTCCTGTTAGGGTCTTAACGAAAATCTGCATACCACCGCGAAGACGGAGCACCAAGTGAAGGGTGGACTCCTTTTGAATGTTGTAATCAGCCAAGGTTCGGCCATCCTCAAGCTGTTTCCCAGCAAAAATGAGCCTCTGTTGGTCTGGTGGGATGCCCTCTTTGTCTTGAATCTTGGCTTTAACATTGTCTATGGTGTCAGAGCTCTCCACCTCAAGGGTTATGGTCTTTCCTGTGAGAGTCTTAACAAAAATTTGCATTCCACCGCGGAGACGGAGCACCAAGTGGAGAGTGGATTCCTTTTGGATGTTGTAATCGGCAAGGGTTCGCCCATCCTCAAGCTGCTTGCCAGCAAAAATGAGACGCTGCTGGTCTGGTGGGATCCCTTCCTTGTCTTGAATCTTGGCCTTCACGTTATCTATGGTATCGGAACTCTCCACTTCGAGAGTGATGGTCTTACCAGTCAGGGTCTTAACAAAGATTTGCATCTACATTATACAATAAAGAAAACGAATCAATCTCCAAAATCACGAGTAAAAGCAGTGAACGGAAAGACAACATAAAACAAAGGACAGACAGCAAGATTATCCAACATCACCAATGCTATTTAAAGCCTAAGAAACTGAAGAAAAAACAAAACAAAACACGTTCATCAAACCCAATCAAACAATCAATATAATGATCAAAGAATACTAGTTACAAAAATAACGTGTATGTTTTATACAACAGACAGAGACCCAGACCAAAAGGAAAAGAAAATGGTAGAACTCGAAATCCCGATTCCGTTCAATAAATCAATAATATCAAATCCACACTCCCATATGTGACAAATTAAATATATGCCTTTATAAAACAGTTCTCAGAATCGCTTACAATCAACAAGTAATTTGAAACAAACAAGCCAAATAATCAAGAAAAGTTTCAAAAAAGACCCCAGCTTGCATGATTATTGAGACGCTAAAATCATGTACGATAATTATATTCGAAAGAATCTCCAAAACACGAAAAAAAAAAAAAAAAAAAAAAAAAAAAAAAAAAAAAAACCAAGATCAAAATCAAAAGGCTCGACAAATCCGATGATCGCTAAAACTCAACACAAAACCCTAATAATCGAAAATAAAAGAAGATGAAGGTACCTTGAAAAGGTGCGCTAAGGTTTTCCTTCTCTGCTACGAAAGAAATGAAATGAATATGCTCGGGTTGGGGAAGATTGTGGCGAGGGGCTTCCCTTATATAACAAAAAACCCATGCGGTGCTTCGTCACGGCAACGATACCTTCTCCAATCACATTGTGACACGTGGATGTATTGGGACCCTGAAGTCGTGAACCGGTTGACACGGCAACATTTGGTATATGAGTCCTTTTCGGCAACTGATGAGGTGTTTGATGAAAAACGTTCAAACTTCAAACAATTTCTGGAATCTGCTGGCCGCCACCGAATATAAATAGTATAGTAAAGTTAAATTTATTGTAAAACTAAATCAATTTTTGCTGTAAGGTTTATTCCCCATTTCAATAAATCACGTAATATTTTAATATCAAATTCAAATCTTTTTCCATTTAATTTTTATATATATTTCATTTTCTTCGTTATTATCGTCTAATGCCTAATGTTGCACCCTCCCACGATAATTCTTCTCTCTTTTAAAACTTTTATAAATAAATTAAAAATAATAATAAATATATCACTTTCTATATAATATTATTAAAATAGTTCAATTTTCCAATAATTACAATACTTCTATTAGGGATGGAAAAATAAGTCATGCCCGTGGGCCGGCCCGACCCATCATTTCAACCCGTCAAACCTGTCAATCCGTCAGGTCAAATGGCGGGTTGGCCCGTCACAATTTGCTTTTGTTGAACATATATTATGCACAACATGTATGCATTTTTAATTTCATATGATTATATTTATTTATTTGTAGCAGTTATCTTTATTTGAACTTAAAATATATTTTTTCCATTTTTTTGCAATTTTTTTTGTGGTATGCAGGTTAGCCCGCCAACCCGCCAGCCCGTCCTTAGGTGGGGTAGACCAACATTTTCGACCCATTTTTTATTGGCGGGCTGGGCTGGCCCGGTCCATTTTTTGCGGGCCATTGGCAGGCCGGGTCAAAACGGGCTGGATTGGCCCATTTTGCCACCCCTAACTTCTGTGGTAGTTAAATAATTTATAAAGATAAATTAGGAAAAATTAATATTATACTTGAGACATTTTTTGAATGATAAATTATAGTCATTGTGGAACGGAAAAGAAATTAAAAACAAAAATTCATCATTGTTACAATTAACTATGGGAAGATAATGCGTGAGGATTACATGAGAGTGTTGATAAGAGATTTAGACAATGTATGTGTGAGGATTTTAAAAACTTTTTTCTAGATAAGGAATATATGTTTGTAACAAGTTTTTGTCTAGAAATGTGATGGAAGAGGATAATAAAAAAGAACATTTAGAATTTTATATTGGTTTACTCAACCTGATCTACATCCACTTACCTTCAAGCTCTTGAAGGATTTCTCTAACTTAAAAAATTTTACAAGTATTTTTACTATCACTTATGGCTTACAGACACAACTAAATGTTGTAGTATACTTTAAGTAACCTCTACATGCTTAGGTAAGTAAGGTTTTATGTTTAGAGGATAATTTTTGCAACGAGGATATGTAAATTTGAGTATACTTAAAGAAAGCTAACTTACTAAGGCAAGGATATTTTAGTTCATAAAACTCAATGAAGTTTATTTTGAAGCTTTTGGATTCCATGGAAGAAGATTGACATTAGAACTAATTAAAAGGTTTTACCAATCTCTTTCAACATAGTTTTATCAAATTTGGTATTATGAGATTTTGTTCTTCTATGAAGGTTTTATCTAAAAAAATTTGTGTTGTGTAGTCTTCCTTACATGTCTTGTAGTCATTGTTGCATAAATATAAATGTTCGTGTGCTATATGACAGATCTAAAAATGTCTTGAAAACTTCGGTTCAAAAATATTTGAGTACTAGTTTCTATGAACCAAATTTGTGTTCTAACATAGGAATCTTGTTTTATAAGTTTTTCTTTATTTTTTGATGTTTAATATGTTGTTTGATATATGAATATGATTCACATGAAATCTGAGTGTTGGAGTCATTTTTTGTTTGAAATCTATACAATGCTTATGTCTTAGACGTCGTGTTTAGTCATTATTTTGTCATCACTTCTAATAGTACTTTTTTGTTTCTGAATCTTAAAGATACATGTGATATTATGTGTTGGTTGAACAATATAAGTTTTTGATTGACATTATTCAACTCCTTATAGTGTCTCTCTTTTCTCCACAGTAGACGACCTTGATTGTTAAACGTCTTATTAATATCTGCTAAAAGAGTTTGTATTTAACTAACAATACGCCAAAGGTCCCAAGATTGATATCAAAATATAGATGAATTCCTAGCTTTCCACAAGATCTAAATGGTTGTTGTAAAAAAGAATAGCATTTGGTCCTTTGAGATTGTTGATAAGCCAATCATAAACTTTTGTCATATAAAACTCTAAATGTTTGTCCAACTTCAAGTGTTTCCGAACATGGATTGAATGACCAAGGGCATGAAGAAAATGGAAAATTGTCTTTTGTTGACCTCTACACCTGTTACAAAAAGCATCAATAGACATATGTCTAAAGACACAAAACACATAAGTAGAAAGGCTACCATGAAGGGTAAGCCATAAAAAATGTATAATGTTCTTTGGTACTTTTAATCCCAAATCCTAGACCTATTCAATTGTTGGGATAAAGGAAATGGACTATCAATAATAAGCTAATGGAAAGCAAATTTAGAAGAATAAAAAACATTACTAGCAAGTCCCCAAATAATCACATCATCAACATTATCAATAATAACATGAGTTTGATGCTCCACTTTCACCTCCTCGGGAATAATGGTAGCAAGCATGTTGAAACACCAAGTACCATCATGAAAAAAAAAAAAAAAAGTCAAGCAAAAGAATGGTGGTGCCTTGGATATTGACAAAAGGAACTGAGTGACAAAGATAATCTTATAACCATTTATCATACCAAATAGATATTGCTCGCTTATCGATTCAAACTTGAAAACCCATCTTTAGATAGTCAACAACTTTAACAATTGAATTCAAAGTATACAAAGCCCTTATAATAACCGACACATGAAGGATAGCCTCCTCCCTCAAGTATTTAGCTTCTAAAATTTGTACCCACCACTTATGCTTCGCGTGCAACATATCCCAACCATGCTTCCCCCCAAAAGAGAAATATTGACGTCACTAGATGCACGGATGCCCAACCCTCCACTAGCTGTGGGTAGAATTATAATATTCCAATCCACCTAGTAACAGTGGTTATTCCCCCCCCCCCAAATGAATTTATGGATAATAGCATCAATCTTGTCACAAACCCATAAGTTATGAATCTTGCAAATAAGCGAAGAAGACAAGACTAACTTTGCCAAAGTCACAAACCCATTGATCAGCAACTTCAGGTCCATTAACACCTGTAAATTAGTAATAATCGATTATTTTGAGTTAGTTCTCAAAAATTCAATTTCACTAATTCAAAACCTTTCCAAGTTACTTTGAATCATCATCATACTCACTCTTAGACAAGTAGAATTAAGATTCAACTTATGCACAAAGCACAAACATGCATAGAAAATAAAATTGACCAAAAAAGCAACTCAACACACAAGAACACATAAACCACTCCTATTGCATTTGTTATTCATTCATGATCTTCATGTCTACTCTTTTGTCCATGTCCTTTGTTAGCTTATGTCATTTGTTATCATCAAAACTTTCAGAACTTGATTCACCATCCATGAATCTCAACAGATAATAGGTGTTCTTTGTCTTGTAAGTAAAATACAAATCATTGTATGATAAATGAAAGGGGTAAATATTTAATTATGCTTATTATTATGCTAAATTCATCATAGGGTACCGAGTCAGGAGGTTTTGGGGTGCTTAATACATTCCACATGTGTAATCCCCCAAACCTAAATTCTGGCTGTGAAGGCCATTATATTTTAATGAAAACCCTTTTTTCCCAACATTTTGAGCAAAATGTCGGTGACGATTCCTTCAAACCTCTTTCTCTAAAATCATTTCCAAAATGAAGTCCAAATCATCTGTAGGTAAGGTCATAATTTTCAAGGTTCTGACATAGGAAAAGCTACAAGATAGCAAATGCTATTATTTTGGACACACATTCTAGATATAACCAAATCTGCATGTACTCCCCTAACAAGGTAAAAACTACCTTTATTATCGAGGAGGCTAATTTTTGTTTATCATGTGATGTTGTTCGAGCTTAAGAACGCACGTGCTACTTACTGACAGCTAATGGACAAACTTTTCCAAAAGAAAATCAAGAGAAACTTCGAAGTATTCAATTTCACTAATTCAAAACCTTTCCAAGTTACTTTGAATCATCATCATACTCACTCTTAGACAAGTAGAATTAAGATTCAACTTATGCACAAAGCACAAACATGCATAGAAAATAAAATTGACCAAAAAAGCAACTCAACACACAAGAACACATAAACCACTCCTATTGCATTTGTTATTCATTCATGATCTTCATGTCTACTCTTTTGTCCATGTCCTTTGTTAGCTTATGTCATTTGTTATCATCAAAACTTTCAGAACTTGATTCACCATCCATGAATCTCAACAGATAATAGGTGTTCTTTGTCTTGTAAGTAAAATACAAATCATTGTATGATAAATGAAAGGGGTAAATATTTAATTATGCTTATTATTATGCTAAATTCATCATAGGGTACCGAGTCAGGAGGTTTTGGGGTGCTTAATACATTCCACATGTGTAATCCCCCAAACCTAAATTCTGGCTGTGAAGGCCATTATATTTTAATGAAAACCCTTTTTTCCCAACATTTTGAGCAAAATGTCGGTGACGATTCCTTCAAACCTCTTTCTCTAAAATCATTTCCAAAATGAAGTCCAAATCATCTGTAGGTAAGGTCATAATTTTCAAGGTTCTGACATAGGAAAAGCTACAAGATAGCAAATGCTATTATTTTGGACACACATTCTAGATATAACCAAATCTGCATGTACTCCCCTAACAAGGTAAAAACTACCTTTATTATCGAGGAGGCTAATTTTTGTTTATCATGTGATGTTGTTCGAGCTTAAGAACGCACGTGCTACTTACTGACAGCTAATGGACAAACTTTTCCAAAAGAAAATCAAGAGAAACTTCGAAGTACACGTGGGTGACATGGTGGTGAAGTCCAATAGCACCATC